GTCATCTACATATGTAGCTGCACCTGATGGAACTTATTTTGCTTGCTCTAAGGGACTCACCACCCTTTTTTCCACCTTTCAGTTTCTAGAGAATAAAGATTATTGCGTTTTGGTACAGCTTTTGCCTCAAATCAAATACTATTCAGGGGAGATCCTGGTCTCACAGGCACAGCGCAGAGTGCTGAGAGAGCCTGTCTCTATGACCATTGCCCTTATGCTGGGGATTGGTGGCCTTGTTGCCGGTATAGGAACCGGAACAGCTGCCCTTGTACAAAACAATCAACTGTTGCAATTACAAATAGCTATGAACACGGATCTTGAGGCCATAGAAAGATCCATCAGTGCTCTGGAAAAATCGCTGACCTCTCTATCCGAGGTGGTTTTGCAAAATAGAAGAGGGCTGGATCTCCTGTTCCTTAAGGAAGGTGGCCTTTGCGCTGCTTTAAGGGAAGAATGTTGTTTCTATGCTGACCATACTGGCATTGTCAAAGAGTCTATGGAAATCCTGAGAGAACGGTTGGCTAAAAGAAAGAGAGAGTTTGAGAACCAAAAAGGATGGTTCTCAAATTTGCTACAGGGATCCCCCTGGTTGTCTACTTTACTCCCAACTATTATAGCCCCCTTAATTGTTTTCCTATTGCTTCTTTCTTTTGGCCCATGGGCCCTTCAACGGCTAACCCAGCTTATTAAAAGACAAATTGATTCGGCCTTACCTAAAAGTATTTCGGTCCATTACCACAAATTAGTAGCAGCTGACCCGGGGGAGGAGCGAGGGTCGCAGCAAGAGCTCAGGTTCAGTAATCAAGGACTCAGGTTTAATAACTCAAGATTGATGCAGCTGTAAGGGGCCGTGGGCCCAAAACTATGCGGCTTAAAGCCCACCTTTGTAAGACTTTTAATGACCTTTAAGTTTGCGGCTTAAAACCAGCTCTGTGAGCCTCCTGTAACCTGTAATTAGATACGGTTTGGCCAAGCGGAACTGCTGCTTCTGTTCCGAGAAAGGGTCTGGAGCTTTTCTGTTCGCTGTTCCAAGAAAGACCACTAGATGTTCCGGCTGACAAGAAGAATGTTCCAGTCCCAGCAAATACCTGATGTTCCTTCTATTATTCCCCCCAATTCTATTGTTGCAAGGCTATTTAAGCCCACTCTAAGCCCCAGTAAATCGAGACCTTGACATTGCACAGACGGACTCTTGTCCTTTCTTGCGCCGCATGGTCTCCTTTTCTCTCTCGCCCTCATGACCCCCTTAGGTGACAACCCCCTCGAGACCCGCAAATAACCTGGCCTGCTGGACGGGTCAGTCTTGTTTCATCAAACCGTATTAGTCTGGAAGGAATCCATAGCTTTACATTTTCTATGGAAATACAAGCAAAAACTCTTTTCCCAAATAACCTGTCCTTATACTTAAATTTGAAAGTCAAAGCATTTTTAAGATATGTAAGTTGGACTAATTTAGCAGCATTTATAATCAAATGTATTTTAGCAGTTGTTCCTTCCTTAGCAACTGAACAATTCAAAGACAACACAATAGCATAGAGTATCCAGACTCTCTGTGTATTTTCCATCCTTACATGGATTATTTATTTACTTATTATTATTACTCTATTTCATTAATTTTTTGTTTTTTTGAGACAGGGTTTCTCTGTGTACATTGGCTGCCCTTGAATTCACTCTTGTACACCAGGCTGGCCTTGAAACCACAGAGATTTGCTTGCTTCTGCCTCCAGAGTGCTAAGATTAAAGGCATGTGCCACCACTGCCCAACTACTCTTTCTTTCTTTGCTTGTTTTTTTTCTTTACTTTACCCAGTTTCTTTTCTTTTACAAGCCTATGTATATTTTTAAATACACTGTAACCCTTTTAGAGGTTTTAATTCACCTGAATCTGTCTTTACTGTAAATATTTACCTTTTTTTCTGGCCACACATCTTTTATCCACTAAATAACAATTGCTAAAATTAAAGCCACAGCTGTTTTAGCCTCTGTCTTTCCAAGATGGTGGTGGCACATTTACAAACAGCACCGAGAGCTGTGCTCACCGCTGCCAGCTTGGAGATGTGGTCACTGCAACTGCCAGCTGCTCATACACACCATTCAATTGTTAGCAGGACCTCTTAAAAGAGCCCTGCAGTTTTTTGCTACTTATGCTGAGTCAGGAAACTTCCCTTAAAGGAGCTGCATGAGTCTCTGCTTGTTTCTAGCAAAACAGAGACCACCAAAGAAAATGCTGCTACCAAGAAGCCATGCTTGTCTCTGATCTTTTGTTTCTAAAATCCCTTTTTAAGCTTTTGTCAAGTTTTAAGCGGAAACTCTTGCTGCATGTTGCTGGCACCATAATGTTAGGATAACTCTTCCTGCCAGACTGGTCCCAGTGACACTCCTCAGAGCCCTCAAATAACACAGAGAGACTCTATTAGTTACAATGCTGTTGGCCAATGTCTAGGGCTTCTTATTGGCTAGCTCTGTCTTAAGTATTAACACATAACTACTAATCTATGTATTTCTACAAGGTTTTATCTTACCAAGAATGCCAGACATATGACAACTTCCTACTACATTTCCTAGAATCTTCCTTCTCTCCTAGTCCTACCTATCTTGCTTCCCTATTGGCCAACAGTGTTTTATTTACTAACCAATAAGAGAGACATATAAACAGAAGGACTTGCCCAATCACCTAAGTACTTGTTTACCGATTATTCATGTGTAGCGGGCATGTACACAAGTGTAAACCCAAACATTACAGGTTTTCTTGGTTTATTTACTAACATCCCAAATTATAGATATGATTATAGCCCAAAAAAGCTGAAATAAATATTTGTCCAAAAAATGAATGAAAGGGGATTTTTTCCAAGTATTTAGTAAATTTGTATTTGCTAAATTGACTAAAGAATAAAAATCGTATTTAAAAATTATCCAAAGAATAAAAATATTTCTTTTAAAATTCCAGACAACACTAGTAATTCCATAGATGAAAAACAATGATCCTCTTTTTAACTTATGAGATTCCAAGAAATTAAAGACTTGATTGTGGCTATAGATCATACCAATGGTAAAGCTAGAGTCTACCGTGTTTAAATTCAAGCTTCAATACTCAGAAATATCATGTGCATCTAATAATCACAGGCCACAGCTGTAGAGATAGAATTAAAAGTCAAACACCAGTGGCAATCATCTAAATAGCTTTTCATGGAGTTTTTATAACATCTTGTCAAATTTCAATCGCCAGGATTCAGACAAGAACATCACACTTCTCTAGAAAATATTTTATCCTGGTTTGCAGGGCCATGAAATAGTAACTTCTGTCAAAGGCAATTGCTGGTGCCTGGGCATCCCAAAATATAATTACACATTTACTGTTGTGAAAATTACATATATGTCTTATATATTCACATACTGTACATACTTTGACATATTCCTAAATGCATAAATTAAGAAATGATGTAGCACAGGGTTCAAGATAAGATTTGTTCATACCCATTAGCATCTCTTTTGGCACCTAAACCTTCAGTGAAGAAAAAAAAATACCCTTTCTAGTCAATCTACTTTCTCACTCCATATTTTAATCTCACAATCAATTCTGAACAGAGTTTTGACTAGGAGAGCAGTCACCGTTTCTTCTTTTCTGGGCTCAGAATGGAAAACCACATCTTTATTTAGGCAGCAGTCAGATACTTGGACTATCCTTAACCAAAACTCTTGGCAAAGGTAATTCTTCTGATGTCTGTCTTAATTAGGGTTTCTATTGCTGTAAAGAGAGACATCATGGCCATGACAACTCTTATACAGGAAAACATTTAGTTGAGAGGCTTATAGTTCAGAAGTTTAGTCCATTATCACCATGGTGGGACATGGCAGCACGTAGGCCGACATGTTGCTGGAAAGGTAGCTGAAAGTTCTACATCTTGTGCAAGAAACAGGAAGTGGTCTGAGACACTGGGCATGGGTTAAGAATATGAGACCTCCTCCACAGTGACACACTTCCTTCAGTAAGGTCACACCTACTCCAACAAAGTCACATCTCTTCATTGTGCTACTCCCTCACTCCCTGTGGGGATCATTTTCTTTCAAATCACAATGTCTTAAAAGGATCTAAACCTTATATTCTGTTTTTATTATTATGAGTAATCTTTACTTTAAAAAGCTTCAGTTCACAAAACCGTGGTATCTATAAAAAGTAGTTGAAGAAGAGAATCTACCAAAAACAGATATGAGTGGACAACAACACAGGGAGCTGCATGGCTTAAAAACACCATCCCTGCCTCTGCTCCATGTACAACTGCCAAGTGTGTGGGGGAGGGGAGGAATCTATAAAACAGGGAAAATGCAGTGACGTTTGCTTAACAAAGAATGGCAAAAATTGGAAAGATTCAAGTTTAAGAAAGATTTTGTCTTTTTCTTGATTCTTTCTCTCTTTGCAGTCACAGAACACCTGAAAGCCAGTACTGGGGCCCAGGGATTGGCCCCAAGTGGAAGAAGAGAAGCCAGGGTCTTATTTAAATAAAAACAGAGACAACTAAAGAAAACATTTTAAAAAGTGAAGGAAAAAAACCTGGTACTTCTTTTTTTTTTTCACTGAATAATATTTTAAGCTGTTTAATTCTTTTTCCCTGAAACCCAGTCAAAGAGAGGGAGGAGGGAATACATGAGCAAGGGAGGTCAAGATCATGATGGAGAAATCTACAGAGACAGCTGAACCAAGCTGTGGCAACTCATGAGCTCTAGACGGACAGCTATGGAGACTCCAGGGGACTGAACTTGATCCTCCATGTGTGGGAGACAGTCTGAGGGGTCCCTAGCAGTAGGACCATGATCCAAACCTGGTACATGAGCTGGCTTGTTTGAGCCCATTGCCTATGGTGGAATCAGCCTTAATGCATGGGAGAGGGGCTTGGCCCTGCACCAACCTATTGTGCCAGACTTTGTTGACTCCTCTTGGGAGCACTTACTGGTAAGTTGGAATGGACTGTGGGAGGACTGGGGGAAGAAAGGTAGGGGAATTAGGGGTGGAACGGAGAACTGTGGTTGGAAATAAAATGAAATTTAAAAGAATAAACTATTCTTCATTCTTAACAAACTGATTTGGATCTGAATTTACGTTAATGGTATAATAAGTAGTGACAGATGGATGAATGGGACTTGTTGCCAGAAAGACTAGATAGACTAGAGTTAGAACCTGGGTCAGAGTGGAAATAGGCTAGAGACTATACACCTGGAAGAAAGGAAAAACCTTGCATCAATATTCCATGGCTGCCTGTAGTGCCAAGCACATGAGGATGCCTGGACAGTGAGGGACCAGCTAGAGCATGGGTGCCATGCCTCTTCCCAATTCCTTGCCCTGTGAATCTTTTCCATCTGGATATATAACCACATCCTTTGTAACATTGCTTATAAGAGCCTGTGAACAAGGCATTTCTTCACTATCCTTGCAAGTTAATTAAGTCCAAAGAAGAGGAATAGGAACTCTGATTTAAAGCTGCTCTGACTAAAGTATAGATGACCACATATAAAATGTACTGATGCAGAAAATAAGGGAAGTCTTATGTGACTGGCTTTCTTAACCAGTGCTGTCTAGTACTGTCTTTAGTGTTATGATTAAATTGAAAGGGAAGAACCCAGCTAGTGTTCACCGAAGAATAACTGGTGTCTTATTTATTATCTTGTTTATGTGATAAAAATAACCTGACAAAGACACTTGATGGGAAAATACTTTGTTTCAGTTTACCCAAGGGTATAATCCATCACAGTGAGGAAGTCTCATCAGCATGAACTTGAAATCACACGGTCACATTTTATCCACAGACAGGAAGCAGACAAGCACATCCTAGTATTCATCACAGTCTCCTCA